GACTAGAGACAACGACGGGTCGGTTAATAAAGGGGACTTGGAATTCCGAGCACCTCGTTCTTTTTAGGCATTAGCCTATTTTTTTTGTATTTTTAGACGAAGTGGGGGCTGGACCTGCGAGTTAGTCCCGGTCGTCATTTCTATGTAAAGTTTATGGTTGTAAAATTAATTCAACCGCCTGCGAGCGGGAAAGTTTAATGTATATACGATCAATGATTGCTCGACCGTTTGTATGCGGCGGCACGATCGGTTATTTTCTTTCACCTTTGTCATGAGCAGATCATTTCAACATTCAATCGATCGGGCGAAGTCTGTCGACCGGTCAAAACGCGCTCCACATAGGCGGACATTCAAGTCACGCCACCGATCGGGGAAGCCAGGAGCTCTCGGCATTGTTCCCCGATCCGTCCAACTTCTGTCCACTATCGCACCCACTCGTGCCTCGAGCGCACAATAGTGTGGGGGCTGGGATAAGGAAGTATGGTACAAGGCCCGTCGCTCGGTTACATTCCGACCGTAGAGGCTTGCTTATTCTCGGCCCGTCGCTCGGTTGCATTCCGACCGTAGAGGCTTGAAAATTTTTTCGGCGAAGGCCTGGAGATCGGATAAACCCGATCGTTTGGCCAGTTTTGAAGTCGAAACATCGAACGCACGACCAGGCCGTGAGGTCGTGAGGTCGGGCGTTGAGTGGATCGTGTATCGCGAGACCGGGCCTAAAGGCCAAGTGGTCGAGTGATTAAGATCAGTGTGTGCAAATTGAAAGGCAAGGAAATAAAAGACGAGCAGCACGAGATGGAGCAAAAATAGAACTTTATTAACAAACAAAAGTTGCCCGGTACAAATCGGGACCGGGCTCCCGACTAAGGTCTCTTACAAAAAAGAAGAAAAGAAGCCTAAATCTACTTCTTCGCCTCCTGAGCGCTGGCGGTCGCCTCTTTCCCGCTCGAGGCAGCAGCCGACGGAGCCCCAGGCTCGGTTGCCTTGGCTTTCGGGGTCGGGGTAAAGGGTGAAGGACCGGGATCTGCCACGTCCGGGGGCAAGGCCGACAAGACCAGTTGGAGATCATCGGCGTCGAGGGCCTCCTCCAACCGCTTGCGGGTGCGCTCGAGCATTTTCTGCTTCCCGGCCGTGAAGGCCCATTTCCCGAACGAGACGATCAACTCGTTCCCGACCTCGTCTCCTCGGGCTGCGGTTAGGAAGGCCGTGCCCAGCTCCTTGTTCTTGAAGGCCGCCCGCACCAGATCGCTCGGGTTCTCGAGCTGCGCCTTCAGCTCTCGGGCCTCCCCAATCGCCCGGCTGGCGACCTTCTCGGCCAGCACCCGCTCCTCGTCACCCTTCTTCAGGGCCTTCTGCGTTTTCTCCAGCTCAGCCTGGAGTTCCTTGATCTCCTTTAGACGACGAGCAGCCGTCTTCTTGTGGTGATCGGCCTCCTCGGCCAGCAAAGCTTGACCCTGAAGAAGTTGGGTCGCCCGGGAGATCTGCAACACAAAGAAGATAGTCGAAGTTAGCCCGATCAACGATACTTGGGCAAAGGAAGATTATAAGTCGGGACTTACCTCAGCAAGATCGTAGCCGATCCGCTCAGCAACCTGGGTCGGGGTCATCTTCCCCAGGTCCGCTCGGGCTGGCGCGGCATTGCCGATCCGTGCCAGCACGGATGCCGGCTCCCTCTCCCGCCCGGCCGAAGGGGTCGGGCTGTGCTGCTCACGGCGGCGCTTCAGGCCGCCCACCTCGGTCGCGCCCTGGTCGGCGACCTTCTCCTTGCCCCGGGCGACCTCCACCCGAGTGACCAGGACGTCCGGCTGCTCCACGATGAAGCCCTCGCCCGTCGTCACGGTCGAGGCGCTCAGAGGTCGGGCGGATGGGATCTCCTTCTCCCCGGCCGCCTTGGTCTTGGCCTTCTTCTTCCCGCCGAGCGAGATCTTGACGGGTGGGGGAAGGGCGGTGTCTTCATCGCCGAACTCGGCCATAGCTGCAAAACAAGAAAGTTAATTAGATCGAGGTAATAGGTCCGGTCGGGAAAAGTAGCTCGTGCCAAACCTTTCTTCTTTCGTTTGGACGGCTTGGCGACCGTCACGCCCATCGGAACGGGCAGGTACTTCTCCGGCAGCTCGTACGTGGGGGGCGGGAGCATGGCAGCTGCGAGACTTTCAGCCGTCCGGTAGATTGTGTATTCATGCACCTCGCTCGAGATCCGGCTGACCGCGTCCCTCAGCGCCTGCGTCTCGGCCGGCACCGCTTGTTTCCGGAAATGTGTGCTCCAGACGCGATCGACCGGGAAGATCCAGGGCTCGTACTTGAGGGAGAAAATCCTGTTTTTCCACCCCTTGTTGTTCCCGGGCAAGCCTCTGATCGAGCACATATCCGTTCGGGACTGCAGCATCAGGAACCCACCCCCGTAGCGGCCCGGGAGAACCTTGATCTGGTAGATGAAGTTAAATAACTCCATCGTGCACTCGGCCCCGTGCCGAGCGCATATCTGTGGGAAGCAGGCCAAGATCCGATGTGCGTTCGGGCAGATCTGGGCCGGGACGACTCGGTAATAGGCCAAGAAGGCGTTTAAGAGGGGGGTGAAGGGAATGGCGATCGGGGCTGTCAGGGAGTCATAGTGCATCCCGATCCACTTGCCCTGATGCCTGTCAATTACATTTCCCAGTTGCCGGCTCGTGTCGAATTCTGCCCGACCCCTGAGTATTTCGGCAATCCGAGCCGCCTCGCCTTTGGACAGCAGGCTCATTTCTTGCTCGACGCTCTCGCTGTTCAGGAACTCGAGCTCGACGGCTGGTCTGGCCGGCCCGGCCGGGTCTTCTTCGGTCTGCTCGGGGGTATTTTCTCGATCGCCCCCTCGAGGAGCAGCTTCCGGGTGGTCCCCAACCACCCGGGTAGGCGTTTCCCTAACGCCCTCGGTTGGAGAACCCCGCCCGCTTGACGTGGCTCTCTCTTCTTCTTCCTCGCTGGTACTCCCCGATCCGCTCGAGCTTGAGCTTGACGATCCGGAGGAGCTTGATGCGTTGTCTCGCTCGGCGGCTTGCTCGGGGGCTGGCGTCGCTCGGGGACTGGCGTCCGGGGTGTAGGACATTATGTCCACATCCCCGTCGCTGGTGTGCTCGACCTCCTCGTCGTAATCGGCAATCGAGGCGTTTTGACTGTCTGAGTCCGTCATATCGATCTACCTAAAGGTCGGTCGGAGTTAGTAAGGACTTGAGACGTCCGGGACAGTTAGTTGACCTAGCAGTTCTACCTATAAAATGAGTGCCTAAGGTAAAGAGGAGGGTTGAGAGCTTACCGATTGAAGGGAGATTAAAGGTTGAAGCTTGAAAGTTGGAGTTTGCTTGCTCGACTGCCTTGCTAAGCTGCTCTGCTCGGGACTCTCTGAGGGTACCGACTGATGCGAAAGAGTGAGGAAAGTTCAAATGAGGGCCTCAAGGGCCTATTTATAGGAGAACATTTAGGCGGGAAAATGGGCCAACTTGCCTGACACGACCCGCGCTGAATCCAAGGCGACGGATGGGATCGCCTAGGCCGGCAGAGGCCGACACGTGGCGTAGAGGGAATGACAGCTGGCCGGTCGATCTAATGCCTGACGGTTGGGCTTCTTCATCCCGTCCCGTTTTTTCCCGACTGATCAAAAAGGCCCGGGCTGGGGGGCTCTTGGTAGGGAATATCCCGACCGACACAGCTTCACCACGACCGAGATGCCTTTGTCCTTTTGTCTATGTCTTTGCAGGTAACAGGTCGGGCTCCTTGAGGAGAGCCCGGTCGGGCTATGAACCCCGAGCGGTGGTCCTTAGGCGAGAGAGCTGGCTAAAGACACGTGGCGGCTTTCTACGGCGACAGGCAGGGCACCCGGGAGGGGGACGCGTGGAGGCTACGTGGAGAGCATGCCGAACGGCCGGAAGCTTGTCTCCGGCGTCGCGGCTATAAGTACCCACAGTAGCTACAGTGTAGTGGACTTTTGGACGATCGATAGGTTGTTATTAGAGAATCCCGACCGCACTCAGTCGGTACTCAGAGCAACCAAGTAGATTGTACTTAGGAACTCTACCTTGATCAATAAAGAATTACTTGCTTTACTTGGTCTTGTGTTATTTATATTGCTTACGTAGAATTAGCAGTATCAAGACCATTGCATGAAACCTTTTCAAGTGCTGCCGAGTTTCAGATTTAGTCCTCATTAAGTGTAACCAGGTGAACCTAGAGAAGTCATCCACCAAGGTTAGGAAGTAACGTTCTCCCTGCAATGAAGAAACAAAAAACGGCCCCCATATATCTGCATGTAACAAGTCAAAGCATGCTTTCGACGAGGTGACACTTAATGGAAAGGGAGCACGTTTGTGTTTAGCAAGTTGGCAAACATCACAAGATATATTCTTAGTAGTATGAACCTTTATATCATTCAAAAATTGCAATTTATTCATGGGGAAGTGGCCTAGTTTTTTGTGCCAAAGCTCAAAACTATTACAATGTGATTCAAAGTTTTTGTGAACTACATTCTGTCATTGAAGGTTGCTGCAGCAGATATAGACCATTTGTCTGTTTAGCTATACCAACTGTCCTCCCATGAGCATCCTGAATTAAAAATTGTTCAAATGTGAATGCCAATTTATAATATTCATCTTGCAGAAGTTTACTCACAGAGATTAAATTGAATCTGAACGATGGAATATGAAGGACATTCTTCAACCACAAGTCTTGGCTAAAACCAACATTCCCTGTATGTTTAACAGTAATAGATTTCCCAGTAGGTAGATTCACCTCAGCTCCATGAACCATACGATAGTCATTAAAATAATTCAAATCACATGTTATATGATCTGTAGCTCCAGAGTCTAGAATCCAAGCAGAAGAAGATAAAGAAATAGAGTTGACAGGGTTAGTAGGATACTTGCCTTCATCTGTAGTGTTCTCTTCTTCAAATTTTGGAACCAAAGAAACAGTAGCAGTGGTTTTAGCTGATGAAGATTGTCCCATTTGGTTCTGAAGCAGAGAAATTAGCTTTTCTAATTGATCAAAAGTGTTTGCTGGAAGAGGAGTCTCTGAAGTTCCAGAATCCATCCCGGGGGATAGCCGTGTTTTTTGAAACACTTATCAACTGTATGACCATTCATCCCGCAATAAGTGCATTTAGCACCTTTGTTTAGGTTACCACTTCGTTTGCCAGAATAGGAATTCATCGCTGCGATCATCTCTTGTTCATTGTGCACAACATTGGCTTGACTAGTTTCAAAGCTTCCTAATGTCATATTGGCCAAGGCAGACTGCCTCTCTAGCTTCTCGGCCATGACAAAAACTTTGTAGACTTCAGGAAGAGGATCGAGAATCAGAACATTTGATTTGAAACTGTTGAAATCGTCATTAAGACCTTGAAGGAACCGTATGATTTGATCAGTGTCTCGTTCCTTCCTAATTTCATCAACGAGATCACAGCTGCACTTAGAAACCGGAATAGGCCTTAAGGCGTTCATTTCCTCCCATAGCGTGCGGCATTTTGTATAATACTCGTTAACAGAGAGAGCGCCCTGCTTGAGATTGAAGATCTCGTTCTGTAGAGCCGAGATCTTCTGCGCATCACATTGAGAAAACCTTCGCCGTAGATCTTCCCAAAAATCTCTGGCTTTATCTAGGTGCATTACACTTTGAGCGATGAAGGCATGAACGGACTTAAAAATCCATGAGCAAACCATGAGGTTGCAGCGCCTCCATGCCGCGAACTGAAGATTGTCTCTGCTTGGTGCCGCGGTGCTCCCATCCACGATTGACCACTTGTTTTTTACTTCTAAAGCTATACGCATTGAAATTGACCAGGAGGCGTAATTAGCGCTGCCTAGCAGCGGAGGACTGACGAGAACTATATTAGGACCATCGTTCATGCTAAAAAACAAAGGATTCTCCAGATCTTCCATGGAGTATCCTCTTTGCTGGTGGCTTGCATTCCTCTGCAGAACTGTATTGGAGGCACGAACAGGCGAACGAGTGACCGGCGATGCTGATCGCCCTTCCTGACTCATCTCGCCGGTAACGGCGGCGGCGTATGTGCTACGCCGTGGCTCAGATGCCATAACGGAGAAGGGTGCGCATGCAAAGGAAAGGGAAAAAGCTTTTGGTTTATTTCATGTAACTGATTATGTCCAGCGGGAAAGAAGATACAACTTATATATGAAAGAGGAAAGGGAAAAAGACGGTTGAAACAGAATGGAGAAGACAAAGTCTATACTGCCCTTCACTTAGCTTCCATTTGTATCCTTTATTAAGGAATGTTTCAGAATGAATTTATGTGGGTTTCGAAGTCGAAACTTTTTTTCAACATGAAACGCTACCCTTATAGAGTTTTTGTGCGACATTGGTTGCAATCTCACGGTACATCTACGCCCCCTCCCTCCAATCGTAAAATATACTGTGAATTAGCATTCATCATGAATGTTATGGACTCTGGCCCGAATTATGTACCTACATTGAAAACATATATGTAGCTTCTGTTAACAAATTTTATATATATATATATATATATATATATATATATATATATATATATATATATATATATATATATATATATATATATATATATATATATATATATATATATTCAGTTCATAATATATCAATTATAGGCAAATAAACTGCAGTTACATAATATGGTAGTATGTAAGAAATATTTTTTTTCCAACAAAAAATATAGTAAAACATCAATAAATGTGAGCGACAAAATAAAACTTACATTACTAAAAAGTTATTTTCTACATGTTTTTTTTTTGTTGCACTTTTCTATATAAGTCATGAGTGTGATTAACTAGTGACGAAATAAGAATTACGTCAGTAAAGAAATCTTCACCCAGTCAATTTTTATATTTTTATATTCTTATGTTCGCCCTTAGTGAAGATAATTTGTAATGAATTTAATAATGCATCAACAATGAGACACTTAATGATTTTTTCCATCTTTCTAGTCAATAATGTCTGTTAACCAAATTAACCGATTGGTTAGCCGATGTTTGTCCAAGACAGTGAGAAAGATGAGAATTTATTTTCTGTGTATTGATCAAGAGCAGCGGATACAGAGTATATAAAGATACGAAATAGAGATCTAGTCTAATACTACTAATATAATAGAGATCTAGTCTAATACTACTAGTTGGATCCTAATACTCCCCATCAAGCACAAGATTGGTCAGCCAAAACATTGTGCTTGCAACAGAGTAAATTAAAACGTACATGCGAAAGAGACTTAGTAAAAATATCCGCTATCTGATCTTTGGTAGAAATTAAATTGACTTGTAATTCCTTCTTTGCGACTTAATCACGAACAAAGTGGTAGTCGATCTCAATGTGCTTGGTGCGAGCATGAAACACCGGATTAGCACAAAGATAAGTAGCTCCCAGATTGTCACACCAGAGTTTGGGCACAGAAGGTGGCGCAAACCCGATTTCCTTCATCAGAGAGACGAGCCAAGTAACCTCTGCAGAGACATCAGCCAGTCCTTTGTATTCAGCCTCAGTTGACGAACGAGCCATAGTACGCTGTTTTCGACAAACCCATGAGACAAGATTGGTCCCCAAAAACACAGCAAAACCACTAGTAGATTTGCGATCATCAGGATTGTCAACCCAATCCAAATCAGAATATGCATGAATATCCAGAGAAGGAGAAGAAGCAATCTTAAGACCAAGATGTAGTGTCCCATATACATACCGTAACACCCTCTTGAGAGCCGCCCAATCCGTAGTAGAGGGAGAGTGTATGTGCTGACACAAACGATTGACTGCATAGGAAAGATCAGGCCGAGTTATCGTAAGATATCGCAGAGCACCTGCAAAGCTGCGATATTGAGTGGGATCAGCGTATGATACCACGACATCAGTCTCGGCCTTCGTGGTTGAAACCGGAGTGGCTACGGGCTTGCAATCAACCATACCTGCTCGTTTTAGAATATCCTTCATGTATCGTTGTTGAGACAGAAACATGCCATTAGAAAACAGAATGGTCTCAATACCCAAAAAAATGAGGGCACACCCATATCACGAACTTTAAACTCAAGAGCCAACTTGTCAATAAGAGCAGTCACATGAGCCGAATCAGAACCCATAACCAAAATATCATCCACATAAACCAGAAAATATAGACGAGTATGGCCATGTGAATATATAAATAAAGAGACATCCGTCTTGGAAGGTGAGAAACCAACAGAGACTAGAAAATCATGCAAACGAGTGAACCAAGCATGTGGAGCTTGCTTAAGCCCATATAAAGAACGTTGAAGGAGACAAACGTGCCCGGGCATCGTTTTGTCTTCATAGCCAGGGGGCTGGCGCATATACACAGTCTCAGCGAGATTGCCATTTAGGAAAGCATTGTGTATGTCCAACTGTCGAATAGTCCATCCACGAGAAATAGCTAAGGACAAAAGAAGACGTACCGTAGTCGGTTTAACCACGGGACTAAAGGTCTCAAAGATATCCTCACCAGCAACCTGATTGAATCCCTTGGCAACAAAACGAGCCTTGTAACTCTCAATCGAACCATCAGCTTTTCTTTTGGTTCTAAACACCCACTTACAGCCAACCACATTCATACCTGATTTAAAAGGAACAAGTCGCCATGTATTGTTGCGCACCAAGGCATTAAATTCCAAATCAATTGCATCCCGCCATTCGGGAAATTTGACCGCTTGAGTAAAACATGTAGGCTCAGTAGTGACGTCAGTAGATAGAGCAACATGGTCATGCGGTCCCGAGCTCCGCGTGTTCATCGTATGAGACCGAACGGGCGAGGGCGCGGGACGGGACCAACCACGGGGTCGTCCCCTCGACCGAGCAGGTGGCTGGTTCATGACTGTCCGCTTGGACTCGGTCACGGACGGCTCGGCAGAAACGGGCTGCTGGCGGTGTGGCTCGGGTCTGGTTATGGGCACGGTAGGAGGATCAAAGGCCAAGACAGCACTCGACTCACCAGGAGGCACAATCGGCGCAGCACCCCATGGCTCCGGGCGTGGTGCAGGTACCTGTGAATCAACAGAAGCAACAAAAGGAAAGACAGTCTCATTGAATCGCACATGGCGACAGATAAAAACCTTGTTAGTGTTAGTGTCTAACAACGATAGCCACAAAAAGGCGGAGGATATCCTAGAAAGACACAAGGAGACGACCGAAAATGCAGTTTGTTGTGATTATAAGGCCGCAGATTAGGAAAACACAGATACCCAAAAACCCGTAAGTACGAGTAAGAGGGCGGAGACCGATGCAAGAAGTAGTGAGGAGACTTATCAGACAAGACACGAGTGGGCATTTTATTGATAAGATACACAGCAGTTTCGAAGGCATAATCCCAGAAACGAGACGGAACAGATGATTGGGCCATTAGCGCCAGTCCCGTTTCAACAACATGGCGATGCTTGCGTTCTACTCTGCCGTTTTATTCATGAGTATACGCACAGGACTGCCTGTGACGAATACCCAATGACGCGAGAGTCGAACCAAGCTTTTTGTATTCTCCCCCTAAATCAGACTGAAAAGACAGAATTTTACGAGAGAAGGAACATTCAACAAGTGACCGAAACTTATCAAATATCGCATATAAATCAGACTTAGCTCGCATAGGATAATACCACACGTAACGAGTGTAATCATCCACAAATAATTCAAAATATTTAAAGCCATTTGCAGAAAGTATCGGCGCAGGGCCCCAAATATCTGAATATATTAATTCTAAAGGATGCGAACTAGTACATTCAACACGCGATAAAGGAAAACGAGACGACTTGCCTAATTGACAAGAGGAACAAATATTGGGTAAATCACTAGAATTAAATGAACTAAGACTAGAAGAGGCTAAAACTTGACGCAGGACCCGAGAGTGTGGATGCCCAAGCCGCATATGCCAAATGAAAGAGGACCGTGTAGCAATGAAAGCAACAGGAGCCGGACGCGAGGCAGGCCAGGCATATAAACCCCCAGACGCATGCCCCTTAAAAAGAGTGTTCCTGGTTTGAATGTCCTTCACAAAGAAACACGAAGGGTGAAACTCAAAAAAGACATTATTTTCTTTAGCAAAACGCTGAACAGATAATAACGAAGAAGATAAACCAGGAACATGCAAAACATCAGACATACGAAACGACCTGGCTAAAGAAGTAGAACCAACAGTAAAAATAGGCAAACCTGTACCATTGCCGACCCGAAGTGTCTCCGGAACATCATATGTAGTAGAGGACGTCAATAAGGTGGGTCAGGGGTAACATGATTTGTGGCACCAGTGTCGGGGAACCACTGATGAGTGTCGTCCACAGGACCATCCACACTAGAAACGACAACATTCGCCTGAGGATCTGGATCAGGAGTGAAATGACGCCAACACGCCGTAGCTATATGCCCTTGCTTGTTGCAAATCTGACACCGAGGGCCTGAGTTGGACCGCCCCTAGCCACGACCACCGCGCCCCCTGTTGCGGCTGCCACCACCTCGGTTTTACGGACTACCACCGCGGCCGCCGTGACCTCCACGGCTTACGGCCAAGGCTGCTGGTGCACCGAGAGCCGCACCGTCGTCCGAACAGATCCACTCCTGTTAAACAAGAAAATCCACAACCTCCGGGAGGGGAACAGGCGCACCACGGGCTAGGGTTGCCACCAACGGTCGGAACTCCGGGCGTAAACCGCGAAACACATATAAATTCTGATCATCCAACTCAACATGATGACCGGCAAGGGCCAATTCATCAATCAACATCTGGGCACGACCAAGGTAATCAGATATTGAGGAATCACCTTGACGGAGCCCCTGAAGTTTACCGAGTAGTCGGAGTGCACAAGAGCGGGTAGACAAACCTAGTGTTTGTTCGAGTACCTGCCAAAGCTACCGAGAGGTGCCATTGCCGACGGCGAAACGAAGAGTCTCCTCGGACAAAGAGGAGATGAGCATGGAGAAGATGGCATTGTCTTGCCGACGCCAAGCGAGCTGGCGGGCGGGCCGGGGAGATCGGAAACCGCCGCCGGGGCGCTGTCCGCGGTCGACGTTAGGGTCGGCGATGCCGTCGGAAAGGGTGTTGTACCATCAACAAACCCTA